AAGTAAATTAAGAATTGAGTGTTGCTTATGTAAAATGTAGTGGTTTGCTATTAATTCTCGGAAGAATTTTGCACGACATCATAGAAAATTTATTTTTTATGAGGAGTATTTTCTTTTATTTGGAGTTAGCTTTTGTCTTATTTGAGAGGAATATCATTTCAGGTTTGATAATATTTGAACTAACTGAGACGAAGAGTAATTAGCTCACTTTCAGCAAGCAGAAAATGGTTAATGGCCTGGTTTTTCAGTGGGGTTAATTCTGTAATTCATTGTCAATGGCCTTTCTTGTTTGCTTGGCTAGGTAGAGCTATAATCTTTCGTCTTCGTTAGAAGTTTATAGATTATGACGGCTAACAGGTTCGAAAGTGGAGACCCTATCATAAATATTTTGTCATATTGTAGTTCCGTAAACTATTTAATGGATGTCTTTTATAGAATATCTTAAGAATACTGTTGCGTTAATATATATATAGATAGATAGATAATACTGATGCGTTAGCATGTAGGAATATCACATATTAGCCGTTCAAGTATCGGATGAAAAATTCAACAAAAACATTGGTTTAAGAAAAACATAACAGGAGGAGAACATGATTTTTTAGTGGAAAAATCTTAGAAGAAAAATTAAAAAACACGGGGTATAATCCGATCAAATTAATGATCTACTATGTAATTATATGCACATAAGTTTACTTTTCTCTTGAATAGAGAAAAGAAATTGCAAAGCTCATAATCATAAATGTACAATAATAATGCAATTATAAAAGTCATAATTGGGCTATAAAAATATAGTTATTGGTCATAATAGTGATAGTTGGCCACAAAGGCTTAGGTGATTCTTGTAAAAGTAGCAATTGATCACATAAATCTTCGTTGTAAATTGTAACAATAATACTGGTCACAAAGGTCACAATTGGTTGAAATAATGGTAGCAATTTGTCATAAAGATTGTAGTTAGTTATTTCAAAACTAGCAGTTGCCACAGAGACCATAATTGAAAGTTGTACGACCAATAGTAGTTGGACACAAATGTTGTAGTCGGTTGCTAAAAATGTTATAGTTGATCATAAAGGTCATAGTTG